AGTAAATATTCTTCCATTGAGGTGGTTGAGACATGTGCTACTTATGACCAACCAATGCCTGTCTCGATGCAAAATCTCGAAAAGAATAGCAATGGATATGAAAGATGGGTAGGTGGCCGAACTAAAATCTAGCATCAGGTCATAAAATGACTGACTGTTGGTCTGATAAATGTTGATAGGTGCATTTGTATATCGTAACGAGTGCTTGCATGTATTAGATAATGTTTCAGAATTGGTCCCAATGGTGCGTATGCATCCACTCTTTTTTCGGGTATGTTCTGAGTTTCGGAATTATTTTTTCATCCTTTATTCCCCGAATGTATTCATATTCTCCTTAATCTATTTTACTGCTAATATTTCAACTATATTGGTAGTTATCATAATAATTTGGTTTTGTTTTTATGATGTACTGTGGAAACTTAGGACGACGCACATTTTAACCAGGCTCTACTTTGCTTATGGTTGTCTTTAAATGATAATATTAATAACAATTAGTAGTCAAAATGATATTCTAATCAGTCCGTTGTTTTAATTTTCTGCCACATATTGCTAGTATTTGAGTATTAAATCGTACTGATAATAATAATAAGTTAACAATATAATGAGTAATTTGACAGAGAATTCTCAATTCATATAAACAAAGGTAACAACAAATAACATAAGAATGCATTAGCCGTAACTAATTTTTTAATAAATAAAAAATAACACAAAAGAATATGATCCATGATGATGGCTTATTGTTTTTCATGACGTTTATTATGAAAGAAGAATGATCTTCAACAACCAATATAACTCAAATGTCATTTTATTGAGTTGTCTGAAGGTCACTTACATGTTTTCCATGTATGTGAATTTCTTCCATAAAAAAAAGCATTCGAATTCATTGACCTATTAAAATTTTGAGCTTCGAAAAAAAAAAGAAAAACGGAACGTACTATTTATGCTGATTTAACTCTATTTAAAAGGTATTGATGACCACTTATAGTTTATGAAAACTATAGTCACATAAATGCGTATGGTTCCTTTTAACAAATAATATCCTTGTTTTTCTCTTTACATTAGAGAAATATTTGTTATTGTTGTGAAGTACATTAGGTTATAACAAACAATATTTCAAAATATTCAATCCCTTAAGTTCAGTTATGGTAGCATTATGTAGAGTCAATAAGTTTCACTGATCGATGACAAGCTTAAATCATAATACAGAGACAAGCCAACAATGACACTAATATGACCTATGATCTTGAAGTCACTTTCAACCTATGAACAAAGTATGTACAAATTAAAAATATTTTGAAAAGCAAAACAACCAGCCATAACAAACACTGGAAACTTTTTTGGAACGTTATTTCACTTAACTCGAAGCTTGTAAAGGACTAACACTTAGTTCTATCCCTAGTTTATTCTATGAACCATAAGCTTTAAGTTTATGTATGACTCACTGTCGTATTCGTTTCTGTTCCAAAACTATTGTAATTTAAACGTAGCCTTTGATAGACTATTTTTATAACCTAATGCCTAGTTTGGACATAATTGCATTTTTCTAATTGTTTGTACGTTTTGGTCATCTTAGTCACCTATCTATTCACGTACCTTTTTGCACTGATCGGAAATGAATCGAGTGGTGTCCCAGTTGGCTTGTCTCCTCTCTCGATTACCAACCAATCAGGTGGCAGTATAGTCTTCGTCTCTGCCCTAAGTCGTTAGTCTCAATTCGGACTCACGCACACCTAACCTCAGAGATAAACCCGTTAGCCTAACGTGCCAGAGCCTTAACCCATACGAGACAAGTTCACTGCTGTATACTGTTGGGTAGACAAATTAAGGATGTAACATTATCAGTTTTTCAAGATTTATTTACTAGTGTTCCGATCTTGATATTTTAAAAATATATGCATAGTCCCACTCATTTGTAAGGAATTTACTCAAGCTAAAGGTAAACCTATGACTCGTCCTCATAGCTATAAATACCTTTCTAGAGAAACCATCATTGCCTACAAAATATTTGTTGGTAATTTCACTAGGAAGTTAGAGCGATGGACCCATAAGTCAACAATAATTGTCCCCATATTTATATAAGAAAGACATGCACAAGAAACACTATTTATCTTTGCATTCCTACTTCCCCAACTTACTGATTATTTAGTAATTCACTAATAAAATGACTTATTTCATAGTTTGCTATAAACGAAGTATTATGTACACAGAAAGAAGTGAGGATTCCATGTGTTTAACAGTCGTTTTTGTCAGATGATAACAAAGAATGTTTCCTAACAATTTTAAACTTTGAACAAACATATTTCTATCGATATTTTCATGTGATACAAAATGAAATTCACGAAAAATCACAGTAGTTTCCATAATTCTGATTGACTCAACCGTATAATAAATGGAATCCCAAATTTTTTTCTAGTACGACTGACAAAAGTGAAAGCTGACTTGTTACTGTGACCTTTGTTCTTATTCTAGGTGAATCACTTGTTATTTGATGACTCTGTTACACTATTTCATTTAGATATTTTCAATATAAACACTTAATCTATTGAATAAGAAAAAGAGAATTCAGCGAAGAAAATTTTCTTTTCGACGAAATCATTTACTTAAGCTGAATTCTTTTTCTTATTCAATGACACTATGGGTTATTTTACATAATCTATTGTCCATTGGTTTTGTTTTTTAGATCTTTTACGGTTGATATTTAGGTATCGGTTTCGTAAGCGAATTTCCAGTTCGGTCCTCATCAACTGTTCCATAGAATTTAGTAACCAATCACACAGTCAAAACATTTACACTATGAACCCGACAATAGTCAAATGCTAATTAAATTAGAGTGATAGAATACTTCCCGTAAGTTTTTGTGAAACATGAGGTAGCAAACTACTTGTAAGTAGTTCAGAAAAAAATACAAAACTTGAGAGGTTTACGATAATGTAAATTCAATAAACAATCGAAGTTCTTCCGTGGAAAGTTTCCCAAAACGTTTTCACCTTCGGATTTCACCATACTTCTTTTATGTTCGTCACCATAAATTTTCAATTCTTTTCAAAGATTTAAGACTCATGAGTAACAAAATTTACTACGTTCTGTCACTGACAAGATGAAAAGTTATATATTACTTTGTCACTCTACCTTCATTATAATTAGTCATTAACAAACTGAAAGGTCAAGTACATCTGTTAAGTTACGATTCAAAACTTCAATGACTTTCGTCAGTTTATCCATCTTACGGTCTGAAGAAATTCGATGGTAGTCATCTTGTGGAGTCACTTAGAATAGTATCTAAGGTAAAAATGTAGAGCAAAGATATATGGGTCCCATGAGATCCCAAAGAGCTATGGTAAGTCAGATTGGAATTTGAGGGGATTAAGATCTCTAACCGAATGACTATTTTAAAATTATAACGATTAAACGAACCAACTAACAATATTGCATGAAGTGTAATGCATTTGTAAATCAAGATTAGGTAGATCTATGTACCAAAATGAAGTAATCATTAACTGAGAATATTGGCCAGTTGTCCGTTGTTTCGCGAGTCCTCAGAAGTTTGTACTTAAACCTCCATAAAAGCAGGGCCGAGTCAGCAGCGTAGCAAAACTTCAGCTTAGAGAAATTTCACTTGAAAAAAGGAAATATTGCAACAGTACAAGTTCGAAAATAACTGATTATCAACGTTTTTTGGTTGTTTTGTTCATCATTAATTTTACATTGGACGTTAGCGAAAATAATTGATTTCGTAACAAAGAACTGATTATTTTAATATTAAGAAACATGACATTAAAAGATGACGTAACTACGAAGGACTATCACGTTGGTTGACTTTATTTTAATACCACTGGTATCAAATTAGTCGTTTGCTATTTATGAACAGAAAATTAAGTTAAAAGTGTGCATTTATACTTGACCGACTTTTATAAGCACAGTGATGATTTAGGATGAGACTTACTATGAAAGATGAGTGAGTGACCAGATGAACTTTTCGTTACATTCCTTAACCAAAGGCCAGGAAACGGTCAAATGAAATATGACCATTAGCTCGAACATCGAAATTTACACTATACATCAAAAATTCCAGAACGACTATATATTTTCGGATACAATATTTTCTGATAGTTTAAAGAGTGCATATATTAAAAGTGACTTATTTTGAAGGTGTCGTGTCCTCTGAGCTGAATTGTTTAATCGTGTATTTCTTGACGGTATCACGAGTGTACAATTTAATAAGTGACGCCTCTCTCGGTTTAAACCTATGACATAGCTTTACATATATCAATGCATGTAGACAACATTGAAAATTAGATCGACTAGGAAAACATGGAAACATTGGATAAAGAAAATGCAAGTAATGTTGGAGAATTTTTAAAAGTCCGGATTCTGGGGATGCACCAATTAATAGGCCTATAGAAGTCGACTCAGCTTATTAACTTAAAAGAAAAAGGATAAACAGCTGAAAGGTCGGAGGTCACAGCAATAGAAATAGCTATGTAAACAACGGCCACAACAAGCCAGTAAATTCTAGTTCAACGAAACAACATGCTAGTCATTTGTAGAGAAATTCTAATGAATCACCTCTTATTGAAGTATGTGTATTGATAATGTTGTTGGAAAAGACGATGAAAAGTTCACGAATAAACTATTTAGCTCAGAGAAAATGCCTTCAAAATATTCATCCCAAGCTACAAATATTCTCCATAATCTCAGTGATTTATTTAACAATAAAACGGAATACAAGTAATCATCCGTTAATTATACTTCCGGTTACTTAAGTTTATCAAGGCTTTATACAATTCGTTGATTTATACGTAACCACAAAAGAACTTCTAAGAAAATTAAATTAGGGAGTAAGTTCAATTCGTAATAATAGTTTTTTAAAATGGCATACGAACAAAGTATAAATTGAACGGAATATTTAATTCCAATGTGTATCACTAGTTAGATAGTTCAAATTAAGAAGAGCAGAAATGTGTGAAATAAAATTATTATTTACACGTGAATACCAGTTAAAAAAATATAGAAAGACAGAAATCATTTAGTCAGTTAATTCATCGGCTAGATCAGATTGACCAAAAGTATGAGATATAAGATTGATACATAAATTGAAAAATTCAATATCTTCAGCGACAACGCTGCACTGTTTCACATTATTATCAGTAGTAGTAGGAAATGATGACTGCTCGAAATCCTGTAGAGAAAAGTTATAAATAAAATATACACCTTACCCGTCTTAATTTGCGGCATCGTTTAACGATAGTGCGAAGATCATGGCATAAATCTGGATGAAATGGTGGCTCCAAAGCAACCAGAAGAGAAAAAATCCACACGTTCTATTGATAAAAAAAACACTATATTTTACACATGCAAATAAATATGGCAAAGGAAAGTAAGATCTTTTGTCAAGTCATGTGATGTCTGGTTATGAAAAACAAATACTGTTAATTCGGTTAGCTATAAGTTACCGAGTTACGGTACATTTTTAAAGAGATTCGGTAATGTAAATGTGAAATATAGTTTTGACAGGAAGGACAAATAAGTAACGTCTAAGTAATTAGAACTAACAGATCATAAGCATAAAATATCCGCAGAATTTGAACTCAATTTTCACACATACACTTGGTGTCCATGTATAACTCTGATACTTACTGTAAACTGATTTCAATAATGAGTTATATTGATTGATAAATATAGAAATAGCTTTTGCTCTGGGACAAAAATCAGCTAAACGATAGTTAATATAGTAGTAGTAATGGAGGTAAGTGGTTATTGACCGGAAAAATTAACTCATATTTGAACATGATAGTTGATTGAACCCTTGTTTTAAATATCTTGATTTTTAATTTCAAGTTAAGTTTTTTATATCTAACTAATTACTCCTGTCATGCCTGTCACTTTTTATGTCCGAGGAGTGCTTAACTAACTTGTTCTTGGTACTGAAACTCTGAATCCGACGATGTGCACTAAAAACACAAAGACTAGTGATACGAATTTATTTAACAATCATAGTAAATTAAAATGATGCAGGAATATATCACTTTTTATATGATTTATTAACAGCCAGGTTTGTATAATCTGAACTAAGTAAGGTTTCACATCAATTAACCAATAATTTACGATGTGAACACATTTTTACAATATCATACTGTGGTGCACGCTCTTATGCTGACAGATATAAGTAGTGTGAAGCAGCAATGGGAAGCAAAATGCCTGCCAACATAAGATTGAATTAATAAGAACAGGAAGGTAAACACAGAGTAATTGGAATAATGACAGAACTGGGAGAATTAGGAAGTATGTAAACGACAACTGAAGGAAAATGTCTAAATAATGATTTATTGCATGATTTTCATATTTTACGAAGTGTAATTTTGTATAAAACAATAAATTACTTTTCCCTACCCGAGTTCTAGTTTACTACAACACAACTAGACATTTATGTACAACAGACATAACTAAGTGACTAAGTCATACAATTACATTTCAAAATGGGGTCACACGCCACAGATGAACAATTTTATATATCAATCGTAGTCCAATCGATCAAATCGTTGCTTCCTATATCAACTTCTTTTAACATATAAGTGATCTTATTTTTAGATTGAACGTAAATACTCTACAGCTGATATATCTCTGAGTTCATTTAAGTATGGATAAACAACTGGTGAAGGCTTTTACTGCACCAAGATGTGGTAATCTTTACTAATTTAACCCAATGAGAAAATCTTGTGAGATTATGAAACATTAAAAATGTACATTCTTATTTGACTGTGATTTTGTACATAAACATTTTTACTAAAGAAATGATAAGACTTTACAATAGAGGATGATTCTATTATTTTATGAACAAATTTCTGATTCTTAGAATCAGTGAGTACAATCACTGATCGATGGATGGTGTATAATTATATAACGTATGGTCAAATGTTGGCTGCTCGCGAGATCGTATTATTGACGTAGACCCTCGAACAATTCGAAATCGAAAACAGCAGTAATAGCCATAGAGGGTGGTTTTATTGTGAGATAAGATGACATGTTTCCATACAAAACGCTAACACGATAAATATCATAAAATGTCTTAGGCGACTGGAGGAAACTAGTTTGTAGATCACTTATTCGATAGTCAGTCAGTCAGTCAGTAACAACGTAGAACTTCGTACGTACGTACATCAGTTCAAGTTGCCATACCACATTAGTACAGAGATGCAGTTGTCGATTCAAATCCCATAGTGATAGAGGCGGTAAGAGTATAAGCAGTAATCGGGAAGATTAGGGTTTGGAGATGTTATTTAAAGAGTATAATCCAGTGAAACAAATTTGGAAAGAGGAAGAAAGGGACATGAAGAATTCAGAAGATTAGAATTTGGGAGAACACAAAGAGTGGATGCACCTGCACCATTGGAAACGATTTTGAGCCATGTCATTCAGGGTCTCTAACCATTGGTTGCTATCACCTCGCGGTCCCCAACCAGGTAGTCTACACCTACCGACATGACTCAGTCCACTTGTCAGTGACTTCATGGATTTGTGCCATGTTTTGGTCTGGCCACCCCTAGCTTTCTTCCAACCTACTCCTATACCATTGAACATCGCTCGTCGAGGCAGTCGGTCGTTGGGCATACGTAACACGTGTCCCAGCCATCTCAACTGATGAAGTTTCACTACGTCATCAATCGATTTGCCATCCTTACCTAGTACCCGTTTCCTAACAACTCCGTTACTTACTCAATCGTCCCAGGATATACGAGCAATGTTTCGAAGACACCTATGATCGAATACTAGTAACCTACGAATATCCTCTACTCTTAGTGGCCACGTTTCACTGCCATAAAGTAGGACGGAATGAACTGCTGCGCAGTAAACACATCCTTTGGTTGATAGACGGATATCTCGCCTACGCCATAAATGACGCAAGTTGGTGAAAGCTAGTCGAGCCTTCTGTATCCGTGCTGAGATTTCGTCACACACCAGACCACAAGGGCTGATGAGACTTCCAAGATAAGTGAAGCGGTCGACACACTCTACTTCACTCCCTATCACTAGTTCGGGTGTCGATGCAACCCAATCCTGAAGCAACATTTTACATTTCGAGGGGGAGAATCGCATTCCGAACATGCTTGCATTGTTGCTTAGAGTGGTCAGAAGACTCTGCATTTTGTCAGCGTCTTCACCAAATAAAACTATGTCATCGGCATATTCCAAGTCAACAAGTGGGTTTCCTGGTAGAAGTTCAACCCCTGGAAATTTAGATGAGGAAAGTGTTATCTCTAAAAGTAGGTCGACGACAAAGTTGAACAAGAATGGAGAGTGGGCAGCCCTGACGAACACCACTTGAGGTAATCAATTCTGATGACAGTTCGCCATAAGCTCTCACTCGACCAGTTGTGTTCGAGTAGAGAGCCTTTACAAGGTTAATGTACTTCTTTGGTACTCCTTTCAGTGACAAACACTGCCATAGAACCTCACGATCAATAGAGTCGAATGCCGCCTTAAGGTCGAGAAACACTACCATTGTGGGGCGTCTGAATGTGTGTCTGTGTTCTAGAACCTGACGTAGTGTGAATATCTGATCTATACAACCACGTCCAGGTCGAAAACCGGCCTGGTTTTCTCTAATCTGCTCTTCACGAGCTTTGATTAGGCGTCGAAGTATTATTGAGGCTAATATTTTAGACACTATATTAGTCAAACTGATTCCTCTGTGATTGTCACAAGAGGACTTTTGTCCTTTCTTATAGACTGGCACAATCAGTGATTGAGACCAGTCAGATAGGACTACGTCCAGTTCCCAAATTCTACCTAAGACCTCGGTTAATCTCATTGCTAATACTGGACCACCATCCTTAAAAATCTCAGGAGTAAACCTGTCAGGGCCTGCTGCTCTCCCTCGTTTCAGATTTCCTATGGCTTTTTCAACTTCGTAAAGGGACGGAGGACCTACATTAACTTGCCATTCAGGTAGACTAGAGATCGTGGGAAACCGAAGTGTGGCTGAAGGCCAGTTGAACTGATCTCTAAAGTGTTCTCCCCATCGATCCAATATACTGGATTGAGAATGAATAATATGTCCATCTTTCTCTGAGATTGTTTCGCTAACAGTCGGGTTCCTAAAACCGGTTCCCTTAACGAGTCTGAACAATTGTCTGCTATTACCTATTGCCGCTGCCTTTTCCATCTCTTTTGCTTTTGCTACCCACCACTGTTCGCGATCATTGCGTAGACTTCTTGTCAGCTTGCGCTTAAGCTGACTCCACTCTTCATTATGTTCAGAGCCAGGTGGAATGAGTTTCCGAGCATCTATCAGTGCGATAGATGCTGCTGAGATCCAGTGTTGCTCCCTAACCTTCTGGTTTACCTTACTAGCAGATATCACTGCTGTTTCCACAGCTTTTCGGATATCATTCCATGCTGCCTCGGGGTGGACATCACATACATGGCTGCCTAACTGTTTTCCTAGTTGTTCCTGAAATATACTCTTAGCTTGACTGTCATTAAGTAGGCCCCTAAGAGGTTTCCTTAAAGCGTCTTTCCTACGTCCAGTAAGACGCAAGCAAATACGCGCTCGCACTAGAACATGATCTGAATCTAAGCATGTGCTCCAGAATGAGCGACAGTCTTCTATCGAGCCCCTCCATCGGTGGCTGATAGCGATGTGATCTATTTGGGTCCAACGTTGGGACGAATTAGAGGTTCGCCATGTTAAAAGATGTTTTTCCTTATGCTTAAAGTTAGTATTTGCAAGGAACAGGCGGTTATCTGAGCATAGCTGCAACAGACGGTCGCCATTATCTGTTCTTTGAGCCACGACACCATAAAGATCCACCTAGGTGTCTTTCTCTATCGCTTAGTTTACCTACTTGAGCATTAAAGTCACCGGCCACTATTACTACATCAGAGCGCCTAGCTTTTCGGAGAAGGTCGGGAAGCTTTCTGTAAAACTCATCTTTTACATCATCTGAGCTGCAGTCAGTGGGAGAATAGGCAGAGACGACGAAGAGGCAACGACGAGTGTCCCTATCTTTCCGGATTCTTACTGTTCCGTTCAGTCGGACAGCGCACAAGCGGCTGTCTACTGGGATCCACTCTAAGAGAGCTAGTTCTGCTCTGGGACTCAATGCTATACCTACGCCGGCGAGGCCACGGGAAGCAGAATCAGGGCTTCCAGATACACGAAGCGTAAATCGAGTCGGTTCTTTATTTTGGCATGGTGAGGTCAAATGAATGACGCTACTCGGATCTTGTATGCGCGTTTCGGAGACGCAGCACACATCGATGGCGCGAGATTCTAAAGTCCTAGCTAAGGAAGCCTGCTGTCCTATTTGGCACAGTGTTCGGACGTTAAAAGCTCCTACGTGTAGTTTAGAGCGTGGTTTCAGGAGACCAGGAATAGCGTTCCGCGTACTCGAATCGTTTGCCCTAGCGGTGCGAGGTGATAAAGAGACGTGAGGAGGGTTAGTCATGGAGATAAGAGGTATTAGGAGGTGTAGGAAGGATTTGAATGTGACCAACTTGGTCTCGTGTGCTGTTACGGGTATGAGGGCTGATATCACTTCCCGGCTGCCCACACCGTGGAAGGGTATTTCTTGAGGAACCTGAAAAGGAAATTGGATTAGTGTTGGTCTTGACGACCTGGGAGTGTGACCGCAGAGCCCAAGGGACAACTGCTTGAGGCCGGTCGCGCACGGCCTTTTTGTGGAAGGTTTTTGACGTGTTAGCTCCGTTCTTCAAAGGGCCTTACCGCCGGAGACGGAAATCCGTGAGGTAAGGTGAGGTGTGACATTTTTAGGGTCGACCTTTTCTAACCCCACTCCTCCTTGTGGGAAGGCAGCATCGATGTCATGCTGGTTGTCCGAGGGAAACACCTTACTGCTGTCACACCTCTCTACAGTCAGCAGTACGACTTCGCCCTCAGACCTTGAGTTGCTGCTTTTAGTCTTACCGTTCACCAATCGATCTGCCTGGCATGGTAGAACCTACAGGAACATATGTTCCAGCCAATATAGCTCGGTTGGGTCATCACGATAGGCAAGCCCGACAACCACGTCAAGGTAGCAGCTTCGGTCGGGACTTATTCGATAATTAAGACCTGGCTATTAGCCTCAAGTTTTGTTCATCATATCAAACTCTGAAATCATATATACAGTAATTTACTACGTTAAGACTAATATTATCATTTGAGTGGATCAAAAAAAAATTATTATAACCTGTGTTTCCTTATTTTGGATTAAACCTATGTTCACTTATCAGAAAATTATGATCTTTTTATAATTATTTTTCTCATACCTGTAAAATTAAATTAACTTACCAATTTAGAATTCCAGTGCTTTTTGGTGCATACGGATGCAACCAAATTAATCAATGTCATAATTTCTGACTAAATGATGAGATGGAAAAATATTAGATAGAATAAAAGTGAAGATTAATACTACCCTGGTTCGTTGAGCGATCCAAGTTAAGGATGGAGTGTGTTCAAGTATTGTTGTTTTAGTTATTGGAATAACAGTTCTAGTCTATGAAAACAAAATTACAGAAAAAAATGCACCAAAGTAGTTTATAAAACGTTAATTTATAAGTATGACTAATTAGATCGGACTAATGGTCTCACATTCGTACGTTTTTTTAATTTCACCAGTTGATCTAGGTAGTGTGGTGAAATTTAGCTTTGCTGTGATATGATATTCAGGGTGCCTTAGACCGCTTTTTGTCCTGTTGTATATATATTCCTAATGGGGTTGTGGGTTAGACATTCAACGTTTAACCACCTGTTTGCAGACTCAAGTCCTGCTCAACATACTTCGGTTTGAATAAACAAGTAGTATCACTAGCCTTTACGCAGTGTGGCTCAAAACAGAGTACAAGAATTTGTACTTGGTAAATGAGTTGCATTTATCTCTCTACCTAGTATATATAAACTTTTATATTTCATTCTACTATTATGTTACTTAGCCATTCACTAGCAATGTGGAACATAGCACAGATGTGAATCGGTTCAATTTTGGAAACCATATAAGCACAAAAAGAGGAAACCGATAACTAGCACCAGAGACCTTGGAAAACTGATCATAGAGTATATGGTTTAGAAAGGACAGCAATATCAGAGGAATGAAATTTCTAGAATATTATAACTCAAGATTTGAAAGATGAAAAACGAACACAATCCCACGTCGATTCTGAGGCAACAATGACATATTTAAACAGAGATCACCATCGTCGTGCAGAATCTAACAAGGAACCCTGAACCTATTGATATGATTCGAAACAATAGTCATTGACTGCATGGACTGATGTCAAGTCCAGGTTTAAGTGTCTCTGGCTTTTCCAACTTTTATTTATTTATTTATTTTAACACATAGATATTAATACAAGGAGGCACCAAATACATATGTGCCACACAAATCTCATTTGATATGTGTGAGGGCTGTGATACTACCCGGGCGCCCAAACCGAAGCAGGTGGTTTTCTTAGGGGGCCACACCTGGAGCCTTCGACCTGGAGGTCTGATCCACAAGGCAGTGGAGCATCGTAAGATGATGCAGTCCCATGGCAGCCGGTGACCAACGATTGGTTCATACGCCATTTGTTCCTTTAGGATACTGGAGCCCATATACCCCATTGGTTTGGAATCAGGGTTTTCCAACTCCCGTAGGTGGACTCTCCATGTCCACCAACCCGGTTAAAGAGCCGGACATTCGCTTTTCGCCCTCTCAATTTCGTAAACAACACCCCCCTCCACGAGAAGGCAATGAGTAGGACTTCCCTGGCAGAGGCTATATACGCGTGGCCATGTGAGAGCATTTCGAGAGGGGTGTGGATTCTCCCCACTCTCGGCCGTACCAGGGCATTTTCCAACTTATTCCTATACAAACCAGGGTTACAAGTCAGTGTAGGCGGTCGACGAAGCTTCATAGGTTTATCAGCCTATCTGTCATCTTTACCTAGTGATCTACACTTAAATTTACCATTGTTTATTCGATGACTTCATCATAACCTAACGGTGCCACGAAGATATATATATTCCCTACCTCCAAAGGACATGTTTTAAAGCCACAAAGTAATACAAAGCTGAATGGTGTTTAGTATAATTTCCTCTTGATTTTCCTCAGTTTCACAAACAGATGTGTCGGTTCTTATACGTTAAGAAGAAAAGCCGTCAATACTGGTCAAAACGGTAATAATTACAGCTCTCAGGTTAATAATAACCCAGTCAATTTCATTATTATTAAATATCAGTATGGGGTTGTGGAGATAGTTAAGTTTAAATTGATATCACGAAAGGATTAATGTTAGACCACCATTGAAAACCTGGAAGCATTGAACGACCATTTCGTCTAAGTATGGGACTCCTCAACAGTGCGCAACCACAACCCCGCACGTTGGACTCGAACCCAGGACCTTCTGTCTCGTACGCGAACGCATAGACCACTGGCATCCAATGGTGTTAATGTCTAACTCCAATTAGTCCCATACTAGGACGAAACAGCCGTCTAGTGCTTCCAGGTTTTCAATGGTGGTCTAACATTCATCCGTTCGTGATATTAATCAAAGAGTCACTCTGAAACTAATTCATAAGGTCCTGCGAATTCACCTCGCCTCAAGTTAGTCATAACCTTTTCGATCTCGCTGGTAGCCGGGAGGTCTGTGTCAATTTCCCAACCACGGTGTTGACGAATTGAGATTTCCTGTTATTCAGATATTAACTAAGCTATACTTGTATACCAAATTTTGCTGTTCTGATTTACTGTGCTGTCATAAGCATTAAAAAAGTAACTTAATGGTCAATCATGAATAAATGTAACTCATTTGCCAGACCCAGGATTAAGTACTCTCCTGAGCCTTACAATTTCGCAACGGCTACTGACGTCTTGTTGCCTAAAACGAAATAAGTGAACTGGTGTTCGAACGCGTGATCTAACAGTTGGGGGTTAACTACCTTAACCATTCCAAACAATTCTTTTGAATGACACATACTACTAAATCATCTGATATACCAATTTAAGATAAAGTTTAATTTACACAACATTCAAACAAATTAATGTATCCACCTTTTGTCACAATTGCATACTACAAACGGATCTGTTAGTCTACATTTCTTCTTAGCTACCAATAGAATGGTAAGTTACTTCAGAAGAATCGAACAGATATCTAAGCCATTAATAATGTGACATAATTGTGAAGTGTGATCGATGAACGAACTTGCCAATGATAAGGTGAAACGCCCACCACTGCATTAACTTTCTTTGACCTTGTATGACTATGCCTTGTTTATTCACCAATCACAATTTTATGTTCATTATAAAGCAACATTCGCCTTGTTGACTCATTTTTCCTATCCTCTAGTTACTGTTCGAAACAGAGATAGTTTATCAAGCCGAAGAGCTTACTTGTTCTGACTTTGGCTACATTAAGACTATGTGCTCGACAGTCTAGAGAATAGCTTAGAGTTACACCTGTAGGAAGTTGCTTCCTACAATAATCACCTGCAGGAATCAAATAGCTCCATCTTGAAACAACTTTAATAGTAAGTGTGCAACATCACCACTAGGGTTTTTACTTATCAAAGTGCTTTTAACATTAATCTACATGAAATATTGTGAAGATAAATATTAGATACGACTGCTTACCATATCATCGAAATTTCTCAAAACTAGTGACTTCAAACATTGGTATTCCTATGAGACAATGAATAAAAATGAGACAGTTTATTACATCAACAGTTTTACGGAAATGAGTGATTTGATTTTCCTGTAAATGTCTTGAAATCTTCGTGGAAATGACCTTGCAAGTTTTTTGAATGTCATTGTCAGTCAATTTAAAATACTTAGTTGCTGAGGTAGCCGTTTGGTTGACCATACCTGTAGGCGGATTTTGACAACATAACACACTCGGGAATGATGAAGCTTGATACCTATCATTAACATTATTATTTATCAAACATACCGCACAAATTTTAAGTATTCATCAGGTGATGTAAGGGCCTTCTCGTGATTAGGTGGATCATTCAAATCAAAATCCGAAACTGGCAGTGCTTGCACAAGCAAACCAGTATCTGAATCCTCTGAATCGGACATTTAATTGAATGTATCAAATTGAGATTATTCCCTTTAAAATAGATAGACAATACACACGAAAAATGAAGTCAGATGGATCAGAAAACATGCTTGTGATTACTTTTGATTTGTATTTTACTGTTTTTCATTTGATGTATCTTAAAAGTACACAAAACACCCAAGAGGGGAGCGGAAAGCTGAAAATAAATTAGATCTTCGCTAAGCTTTACAATATTGTTCGCTCATATATGTTGCTCTTATTTTCTCAATAAGAATCTTGAATATTTAAAAAAGAAATTGTTCATATTTAACACAATAGTGGGAACCAGTAAAGGTTTCTTAAACCTAACACTACTGATTAATTTCACCACTGATATTTCAGAAGCATCTTTGAAGAAAATGGCAGATGAAGCCGAAATGACTTGGAACTTTTCGAGTACATGAACGAAATCACATGACTGAAATCGTAGTTATTTGGTAAAGTGACTACATTTAGTGTCTGAGGTTGATACAACGGATGCTTTAAAATATTTTTCTTACCATCAGATATATTACAATACGTTAATACGATAATGAAACTAGCCACGTTATATCGGGTAAAGGATTCACGACCCAGAATACAGAACCAAGGTATAAACTAAGGGTCTAATCCACAAGACAGTAGGGTAATGTTAGGAAATGCAGTCCCACAGTATCCGAACACCAACAATAGGTTCATACACCCTTTGTTCCCTCAGGATCCTGAAGCCCATGTGCACCATTGGTTTGGAATCAGGGTTTTCCAATTACCCTAGGTGAATCCTCTATATCCACCAACCAGGCTAAATAGCTAGAAACTCGCTTTTTGTCCCCTTAGTATTATTAACAACGCCGCCGCAGCGAGAGAACAGTGAATAAGACTACCCCTGCAATACCTGTATACGCAAGGTCATGTGAGAGCAATATGAAAGGGAGAGCGGACTCTCACCATCACCAGCCGTATCAGGGCATTTGAGGGGTAGCTATGTTGTTTACCGAGTGAAAATCCAGAGAGAATCCTTAACTCAATAAAATACACCCTAATATTAGAATAACATCATTATACGACTGTCGAACAAAATCTCACCATTATCTTTGCTTTGTCTTACTTAAAATTATAGTACCAATATTTTAATTTTACTACAGAGTATCTTGAGGAAATCCTATCTCAATCTCGACGAGACTATAATTTATGGACGACCTTACAGCAACGTTAAAGTGACATTGGGAATGTCCACTTAGTAAAAAATGCTAGCCGAGGGTTATAAACCAGTGCGATGAATTAGAATTATAATTTTCAGCTGATGGTTAGGGTTAGGAAACAGATTTATAGCTTTCATCACGAACTGACGTCATCCATAATGTCAAAACGCTATGTCAAGCCGATATGGGTTATTCTGGCCTCCGGACAGACCAATTTGTTCATTCTTCTTCAGTTACATTTTGACTTTGTCAATTGCTTACTCATTAACTTGACTGTATATGGGCATGTGTATCGCCCAATTCATCAAGTTCCTTTAGTTTACTTGTCTTCCCCGTCCCGCTTCTCATTCTTATTGTCTGTCTGAATAAACGAGTGCCCGAAGTGAATTCGTCCAACTCAATGCGCATTTGGCTTCTCATTATCACCGTCAGACAGACGGGGTTAGCATAGATGTAATATACGGAGTTGAATGGGATATCTATTCTCATGGCACATTCAAACGTTCCTTAAAACTGGAGTCATATCAATGGGCCACAAAACTGGTGGGCCCTTCTTATTGATTACTCTACAGCTGTAAGAGAGTCAGGAGATTTCAAGAACCTATCAAAGGAAAACCATGTATCACGTTGATCAGACAAACTTGCAGGTCAACGTAGCCTGGTCATTTGAATAAACGCGGGGTAATTCCAAAGTCATATCTTGTTTCGTTCATGAAAGACTCATTCAACATATCGTGCACTAACACAAACAAATTCGAAGTAATATCCATGGCCAGTTACAGAAATATCCATCGCAAGTATAAAAAGACAGCTTGATACAGAGTTATGTGTAACTGACTGGTAGGTCATGCAGTGGTTAATAAACTTATTAATTCTCAAGTAGTTCTGTAATTATTCAACATTGATGCAAACCTTATTATTTTATTGGACACACTATATATGAAGGCAGTCATTCACACACCTAAACTAGATTACCATCAGTTCTGCCGTGCTACGCACCCCTCATGATTATTAGCCGGCTTAAGTTACATACTTCTCCAAACTTCAGTTATCTTCCAAATATATTTTCGAACTCATTCATCTTTCACGTCCGTTCAGGATCCTTGATTCTAGGGGTAATATGAACAACAGCGTTGACATACCCTTAATATCTGTAACATCTTTAGTAGTAAGCTCGTCGTAATTCGGCACACTAAATGGTAAACTGTAAATTTGTTCCATGATGTGACATCACATTTGAATTTCTCCCAAGTTTCGTGATGTGATTTTCGTGTTCCCAATTTTTTTCACATATTTAGGATTTTTATTTTTAAAATGTCAAAATGGACATTCAAACTGGAAGAGTTTAAGACACTTACACCTCCATCTTTCAACCCATCCCATCCTAGCCTGATAATACTGAAACCCGGTTCTGCAATGCACAGACCGACTTACACCAGGATGAGGTCACAGGCGCATGCGCGTAACTCTTTGCATTAATGAACGGTCTGAACAGGTACATTACACCCAGTATATCCATTAGTAATTTTTTAACCTTATGATACCCTATAAAAGACTGTCCTCGTTTGCGTAAACCAGTTCGCTATATTTTGTTGTTGCAGACGTGTCAATATCAGTCACTGGTATAGGCCAGCTACAACACCATAACTTACTCATCGACCCAAAAAAAGGTGGAGGTTAGTAGATGGAAATAATGAACTAACTGTTTGTGGAACTTCGCTTTCTGGTTATAGGTTTTGTTCGATCACGATTAAAAACAGTATTGATCCACAGTTCCGACAAACACTTGACAAGTATCCTGAACGTTACAAAACACGAACAAAACTATAATATGTAACCAGCAATGTTACGCACCACATCACGACTACAGAACCACCCGTAATCTTGAAAACACACCGACTAGCTCCTGGGAAGACGAATTTGCAGACATGATGGACTTAGGAATTTTTCGGCTGTCAAAAACTTCGTGTGCATCTCTTCCGTGGCTATCAGCGACTTTATAAGGAAAACACTTTTCCGCACATCCACGACCTGAGAACTACAGTTAAAGACCCTATTATCACTTCGACTTTTGACTTGGTTAAATTATTTGGCCTAATTTCTATGACTGTGGGAGATATTCTGCAAACGGCTATTAGCATCCCTTTTATGCTCTACCAATTTTAGCAGATGTTTTTCGCTTTAAGAACTGTTGTTTAGGAGTACCAAACAGTCGCTGATTATGTATTCCAAGGTCTTCACTTTGTGTACAATTATGTCCATGACTGTCTGATCGAAAGTTCGGCCTGAGAATTTCATCTCTAGCATCTGGACTTTATTTTCCTACGACTGCAAATACATGAAGTCACTGTAAGGGTTACAGAATGTCGGATCGAAATCACCCCCGGGACATTGTCAGGCATCCCATTTAGGCTCAATGATTCACCCTCTGAGAAATAAGGTGGATTGACCAGAACCTAGTACAGTTAAGAAACTGCATACATTCAGCTAACCAGTTATATTTAGCTAGAGACCCGTATGGAATTGAGCTCGCGTTATACGACTGTCAACGGACCAGCTTCTCCAGCATGCGACAGTCACCAACTTTGACAAAAACTCGAGAAAGTCATTTACTACGGCGAAGGACATTATCACCAACTTTTACGCCTCAACGCCAAAACATCCATTAGAATCGCCGTAGACGCATCTAATTCAGCAATCGGATGAGCCTCACAACAATGGGTGAATGACACTCAGCAACCGTTGGCATTTTTGCCGAAAAAGTTCAAAGACCCTGGACCGATATGTAGCGATTTAGGCAGGAAAATCCTAGCTATATATTGTGCTGTACTTCTTTTTCAGCGCTCACTGGAAGGCGGATAACTCATTCAGTTAATCGGCTACAAACCTCTCATGTAACTGCCGAAATTCCAGTATTTGGTCCGTTACAACTTAACTATAATCTTAGCTCGCTGACAAACAAGTACACTCCTGGTAAGTCTTGAAAACTGATCTTTATCCCAAAGCTTGATTCCAGTACTCAATATATTTCTAGGCAGCCGATGTGATTATAGACTTCTTATCCCGTAAAGCGTACGTGAAAAGTTTCCAAGGAAACGAGCTACTTGAACTCACTAAGCCGAGAAATGAATAAAGTGATCTTCAATACGAGTTATCTTCAAGAACCCTGGATCTATGAATCTAACAGAAAAGACACAGATAAGGCAACTTTACTTTGTGACACATTAAGTGAAGGGGACCATTCAATCGTTCCCAAACATAATGGGTGCAATGTCTTCAGTACATGGCAAAAAATTTTAGCAATGGTAATAAACCTCCGTTTTACATATGGATAAGGCCATATTAGAGGTCGCAGTAGGTTTTTTTTATTCAGAACGAGGAACAGAGCAGTTTGAGTGTGAGGTCTCAAACAAAATAAACAAACGTTTCAACGTCCAACCTATGACATTAGGAAATATGATGCCCACACAAAATGAGGAAGCCAACGGATACTTGGGTTATAATATTTTGATATTACCACCGGATTTTCGGCCAACCCTTAATGATCCAACTTAAATTACAACATCAGCTTCATCTAAGAATCAACTTCCATAGAAATGTTGGTTCAATCATTTTCCAAACCAAAAACTTGTTATGATCAGAAATGGATTTTGTGGATATCATAGTAATTTAATAGTTGACTTCATGAGTCAATCAAAGCTAGACCATCGTTGAAAACCTGGAAGAAGTTGACTGTTGTTTTGTCCTGGTTTGGGACTTCAGCAGTGCGCATCCACGATCACTCTTCGCGAGCTTCGTACCCTGGACCTATCGGTTCAGTGTGTTCAAATTTTCCATGGCAGTCTAGCTTTAATTGACTCATGAATTCAACCATTATAAACCTGTCAGTTAGATTGCTGTTGCTGCGTCAAGCCCACACAGGTTATTCTAGCCACTGGGCAGACCAAGCTATTCATTGTTCCCAAATCACGTTCTTACCTTATCACTTATTCGCTTGTCAACTCTGACTGTTTTTGTTCGATTGTGTGTGTGTTAACTATTTACTCTTTTCATTATTTGTCTGTAGCATATTTTTGTTTGGCTACAAATATCAAGTCACGTTTGACCAAAATGAGTGGACTCATTCGCCTTTTTCATTGGGCGTCATTTTTTTGTTTCGCTTTACTCTCTCGTCTTAGCTTCCTTTGCTTCGTTTCCCTGATTGTCCCTGCAGATCGACGACTGTATGAATTGTACGTATTCGAAATTCATTCTCGTATTTGGCTTATTTAACTCTGCTATTCTCTAGCGTGACTTAAAACCGTAATTATATACGACGGTTGGCGGTATGCATACTTAAATGACAATCATTCATCCAATCGAACTGCAGTAAGATGCAGGGTCATTAAACTCTAACAACTGACCAAAGTAAGAGATTATCACGGTCAGACCCACTATGGGCAGATGTGACCTGCTAGTTCAGTGTGTGATCCAGCACTCGGAAGGACGATGGTTAGAGTGCATGCGGATGCAGTATTTTTGTGCTAAAAACTCTCACTTATGTGCGTTGTCACCTGAAACCAAGCTAATTAGGAAAAGAGAACAAAGAAAATGCAGAAAAATACGTTTGACTAGGACGAGTAATGGATTACCTAACCTAGGTGAAGTCTGTTGTTCGCATAATCCGTTAACCATTCTTTTTCTTAACCAAATATAAGTTAACATGATCACAACGACTGCGTTTTTAATTTTGTAAATTCATAGAGGAGGCAGAGCGGTTATAATTTTTGACGGTAAAGAGTAATGGTAATAATAGCCACAATAATAATAAGTAAATCTAAAAAATTAACGTGGTAGCTTTTAACTTGTTGCATGACCGGGAAGCCCTCACTTGGAATCCCTTAGGCCAAAAGAAAAAGAGGAAGATCATACAACACATAACGCCGAGAGATGAAGAAAGACATGAAAAGAATGAACAAAACTTGGGTAGAACTAGAAAGGAAGGCCTAAGAGAGAGTGTGTCGGAGAATGCTGGTCGGCGGTCTATGCTCCGTTGGAAATTACAGGCGTAAGTAAGTACATCTGTCAGGTGATGATAGGCGTGTCGTCGGGGGGGGGCATCGGATACTCTACCAGGGGTTCGGAGTTACGAAACATTTGTATACCATTAAGACGCTTTTAGGATGAACACTCTTCGGGCTGAAGACATCTTCAAAAAGGTGTACTCATACACAACAGAGTGTTCCGAGATGTGTCAAAGTGTAAGAACACCAGTTAACGACTTTGAAGCAATAAAGTTAGTAGAACAGGTAATACACATAACTAAACGGCATTTAATTGTTCGAGTGTGTCACTTTTCTCCCCAAATTATCCTATAAGCGATACAGCTCGGAATCGTACTCCGAGCATAGTAATCACGAATACACGGACGACCCATAAAGTATGACAATATTTACTAAAATTGACCTGATCTGGGCTTTTCACAGCATTCCAGTTACTGATGAAGATATTTCTAAGACAACAATTGTTATACCTCTCGGATCGTTCAGATCCATGTGTACGTTATTCGGTGTGAGTAATACGGGACAAGCATTTCAAAGGTTTGCTGTAGATTTACTTTAAAGTGTGTTATCAAAGTTCACCTTTCCTTCATACCATCAGTGACCTTGCATGTTCGGTTATATTTTATTCCGTCTCTGAGACAGTC